TTCAGCTGACCATCCTCAACACTTGATGCCACACCCGTTATCACTCCTTTCAACGGCGCCCTGCTCCGGAGAGCAAAGCATGTCACAGTTCTTGTCCCTAATCCGTGATCTGGAGCGCCCGCTCCCTCTGGGTTGAAGAAACACAATAAATCATCACGAGTCCGCTCTGAGTTACTTTCATCAACTCAACAGTCCCCAACCTCTTCTCCACCCAACCTGACACCACATATGGATCCGCCAGAATGCAAGGATCCATTCTCTCCACAAATCTCATTCCCGCTGGGCCAGAATCGTCCTCATCATCATCGGGACGAGGCTCGAACTCTGCGGTCCTCACCGCACCTGCCACCTCAACTACTTCATGCACACTATCATCATGTTCTGTCTCTGAGCTACTGGAGAACATATCCCTCTTTTTGCACTTGACGCCTTCCTCACCACATTGCTTCCCTCTACATTCAGCTCCTTCTCGGCAGTCATCACTGCACATGCAACCACAGTTAATTCATCCTCATTCTCGTCGCGTTCAATTTCCTTCTGTAGCTCTTCCAAAAGTTCTCCATTCCAAATTCCCTCAAAACTTTTTAAAAAAAGTTATTGTTCACCATCTTCTCCTTCACCAGATCTTCCAGAAGGATTGTGCAATCCCTCACTCCATATTTACGTATAATATGTTCCACTTTCCTCCTTTTTTTCCGTTGTCTTCATTAGACTTTCCCACTTGCCCAGTTTCCTCTTGTCTAGATGAATGACAACAAAGACTTTACTGAAGAATCCCTACTGTTGACCAATCACTGACGAAGGGCCGTAGACTTCGGCTACACACTTCGGCTTGCCTCAAGAAAAATGTTGTGTGCCCGAACAACCCCCCCCCCCCCCCCCCCCCCCCCAAAACAATACAAGTCCAAAACGAAGAAAAACCTCACAAAATGTCGTCATAATATATGCACAAACTCTTCCGAACAGTTTCGGCTGGGAAGCATGCGGACGCCTTGATAGCAAGTGGAGCCCCGTTTAATAATTTCATAGTAATAAGCATCGACACTCCCTTACAGTCCTCTGTATCTCTCCGTCCTTCTCTCCCCTCATGTCTCTGTTCTCTCCACACATCTCTCTCTTCATCTGTCTCTCTCTCTCTACCCCCTGTCTTTCTCTTTCTCTTCCACGTTCCATTGGATCCCCCTCTCTTTATTCCATACTCTCGCATCAGTTTTCTCTCTACCATTAATTGTCTCTTTGTCTCTCTCTCTCTCTCTCTCTCTCTCTCTCTCTCTCTCTCTCTCTCTCTCTCTCTCTCTCTCTCTCTCTCTCTCTCTCTCTCTGAATGGTCTCAGTGTGTTTCTAAGGGTGTAATAATACATAGAGGAGCAGCCAACACATAAATAAAACACTGTTTCTCTCTACAGCCAGGTCTGTGCATGTGAATGAAGGTGACAAACAGCAGGGCTCCAGGCTCTAGTGGCGCAGTGGTCTAAGGCACTGCATCGCAGTGCTAACTGTGCCACTAGAGATCCTGGTTCGAATCCAGGCTCTGTCGCAGCCGGCCGCGACCGGGAGACTCATGGGCGGCGCACAATTGGCCCAGCGTTGTCCAGGGTAGGGGAGGGAATGGCCGGCAGGGATGTAGCTCAGTTAATAGAGCATGGCGTTTGCAACGCCAGGGTTGTGGGTTCGTTTCCCACGGGGGGGCAGTATAAAAACAAATATGTATTCACTAACTGTAAGTCTCTCTGGATAAGAGCGTCTGCTAAATGACTAAAATGTAAATGTAAAAATGTAATTGTACTCACTGCATCTGTTCCCTTACTCCACCTCAGACACACTGTGTTGCCCCAACTCGCCAGTAGGTGGTGCTAAGTGGTTAGACTCTCAGCTCTGCTATAGGAACCTATGCTGTACAGTCGTGGTCAAAAGTTTTGAGAATGACACAAGTACTGTTTTTAGATATTTTTGTCAGATGTTACTATGGTATACTGAAGTATAATTACAAGCATTCCATAAGTGTCAAAGGCTTTTATTGACTATTACATTAAGTTTATGCAAAGAGTCAATATTTGCAGTGTTGACCCTTCTTTTTCAAGACCTCTGCAATCCGCCCTGGCAAGCTGTCAATTAACTTCTGGGCCACATCCTGACTGATGGCAGCCCATTCTTGCATAATCAATGCTTGGAGTTTGTCAGAATTTGTGGATTTTTGTTTGTCCACCCGCCTCTTGAGGATTGACCACAAGTTCTCAATGGGATTAAGGTCTGGGGAGTTTCCTGGCCATGGACCCAAAATGTCAATGTTTTGTTCCCCGAGCCACTTAGTTATCACTTTTGCCTTATGGCAAGGTGCTCCATCATGCTGGAAAAGGCATTGTTCGTCACCAAACTGTTATTGGATGGTTGGGAGAAGTTGCTCTCGGAGGATGTGTTGGTACCATTCTTTATTCATGGCTGTGTTCTTAGGCAAAATTGTGAGTGAGCCCACTCCCTTGGCTGAGAAGCAACCCCACACATGAATGGTCTCAGGATGCTTTACTGTTGGCATGACACAGGACTGATGGTAGCGCTCACCTTGTCTTCTCTGGACAAGCTTTTTTCCGGATGCCCCAAACAATCGGAAAGGGGATTCATCAGAGAAAATGACTTTACCCCAGTCCTCAGCAGTCCAATCCTTGTACCTTTTGCACAATATCAGTCTGTCCCTGATGTTTTTCCTGGAGAGAAGTGGCTTACTTCACTGCCCTTCTTGACACCAGGCCATCCTCCAAAAGTATTTGCCTCACTGTGTGTGCAGATGCACTCACACCTGCCTGCTGCCATTCCTGAGCAAGGTCTGCAATGGTGGTGCCCCGATCCCGCAACTGAATCAACTTTAGGAGACGGTCCTGGTGCTTGCTGGACTTTCTTGGGCGCCCTGAAGCCTTCTTCACAACAATTGATCCGATCCGATAAATTGTTGATTTAGGTGCAATCTTACTAGAAGCAATATCCTTTCCTGTGAAACCCTTTTAGTGCAAAGCAATGATGATGGCATGTGTTTCCTTGCAGGTAACCATGGTTAACAGAGGAAGAACAAATATTTCAATCACCACCCTCCTTTTAAAGCTTCCAGTCTGTTATTCTTACTCAATCAGCATTACAGAGTGATCTCCAGCCTTGTCCTCGTCAACACTCTCACCTGTGTTAACGAGAGAATCACTGACATGTTGTCAGCTGGTCCTTTTGTGGCAGGGCTGAAATGCAGTGGAAATGTTTTTGGGGGATTAAGTTCATTTTCATGGCAAAGAGGGACTTTGCAATTAATTCATTCATTCATCTGATCACTCTTCATAACATTCTGGAGTATATGCAAATTGCCATCATAAAAACTGAGGCAGCAGACTTTGTGAAAATTAATATTTGTGTCATTCTCAAAACGTTTGACCACGACTGTATGTCACTTCAGAACCCTACTGTATGCTGTCCAGTGTTCTTAGATCAAGGGCGAAATTGTTGTGCAATTCTACATAGTTTGACATGACTTCTTATGCCTCTCTTGAGGGGTATTTTGAGGGGTATATAGAGGGGTATTTTGAAAACACAGTATAAGTGGAAAGAGAAGTGGAAGTGTTGCAGTTTTAAAGTAACTGTCCAGTGAAAATCTTACTTTCAAAAGTTCATATTATGTTAACTCATACCCAAATAATGTTGTTGACTCTTCGTTTCTCGTATTTGTGGCCAAAGCAGACATTTGATCAAAAACCCTTCAAAAACCCCACCTCAAACTTGTATCTCAAACAGACCGTTTAAAAAATGCTTGGTATTTCTTCATAGAGGATGATGTCATCCTCCTGAGGAGGATGAGCTGGCCAATCAGCGGTCTACTCGCATGAATATTTTGAATGACCAGGATATGCCCACACCATTCTGTTGTTGGGGTATGCCCACACCATAAAAGCTGCCTTTTAACATACTTAATTTTAAAAAATTGGAAGGAAAACCATTTCACTCATATTGTAACTAATTATAGGTCATATTTAATAGAAATCTGGAAACACTGGACAGTTACTTTAAAGCAAATTTCCTGCAATTCTACACATTTGCCATTGCTTATGACGTGTTCATATGACCTCCAGTGGGCCCCAACCCCCACAAAAATGAAAATAATTGTTGTTTGATTTTAAAGTAATTATTGGGGGGGACGAATTGACCTGTTCTGAATATTGGGGGGGGGGGGGGGGGGGGGTATGTTCCCCAGTAGCAATTTTGTCTCTGTCTTAGATCAGTGTAACCACATGTATGAACAACATTAGCACAACAACAGACTGTAACATCCTGTATTTAAATGAAATTCAATCAATTTAAAACACAACTTAATAGTCTTAAGGACCAGTCAGACAAAATGAAGTATGCAGATAGAGGGTGATGGGAGGAGGATCCACTGGATGGTGAGGAGGCAGATAGAGGGTGACGGGAGGAGGATCCACTGGATGGTGAGGAGGCAGATAGAGGGTGATGGGAGGAGGATCCACTAGATGGTGAGGAGGCGTGTTTACAGGAGAGAGGGTTCCAGTCATGGTCAAACATGTCTTCTTTGCTTTTTCATCACATTCAAATCTAGAGAGAGACAGAGAGATAAGACTGTGTGTGTGTGTGTGCGTGTGTGTGTGTGTGTGTGTGTGTGTGTGTGTGTGTGTGTGTGTGTGTGTGTGTGTGTGTGTGTGTGTGTGTGTGTGTGTGTGTGTGTGTGAAAGTTAGCTCCCTACATTGCTTTCTGCTGTTTACCCAGGGTGCTTTGGGATCAGAGCAGATCTTCCCGCCTTTCACTGAGTAGAAGCTGAAACAAAACACAGAGAATATTACTACTAATGTATCAACGTGTGTGTACGTGTGTGCGTGTGTGTGTGTGTGTGTGTTCGATACTTACACGATAGCATCCACACACGGTGCCATGGCGTTTTGGATGTGGTATCCTTTCAGTCGAAATTTTATGTCAGTTTTAGACACACTTGTGCAGCAATTTGTGGTCACCTTAGTTGGCCGACGGTCTGATAGAGAAAGGGAAGAAAGGAAGTGACAGAGAAAGGAAGTGACAGAGAAAGACAGAAATAAAAGATTTAGACAGGTAGCCCAATTCTGATCTATTTTTTTTACTAATTGGTATTTTGACCAATCAGATCAGCTCTGAAAATATCTGATGTGAAAGAGATCTGATGTGATTGGTGAAAAGACCAATTAGTGGGAAAAAGATGAGAATGGGCTGCCTGTGTAAATGCAGCCTCTGATCTCTAAACTAACCATAAACATTGTGTGTTTTTAGTTATGAGACGCTGACAGGAAACCATGTGACCTGGCCTATCTCAGAGGTGTCAGAGGTAAAAGAATAGCAACCAGGAAATCATTTACATTTACATTTTAGTCATTTAGCAGACGCTCTTATCCAGAGCGACTTACAGTTAGCGCATACATTATTTTATCGAACCCACAACCCTGGTGTTGCAAACGCCATGCTCTACCAACTGAGCTACATAAATCAAACAAGCTGCGCCTGTGCGTGTACATGCATGTTTAAAGGTACATAAAAATCTACTGAAGATGCAATATATTCAAACTGTTAGTTATTACAATCCCCCCCCCCCCATGTAAAACTAAACTGTTAAACAGTATTTTAAAGGTATAGAGAACTGTGGTTCGTGGACCACTCTGGGTCCGAGAGGTCTGAGTAATAGGAGGTCTGTCGAAAGCCTGTCAATTACAGTAACTCAATGGAAACTGTAACCACATTGTAACAGTTTCTGCATTTTAATGTGTGTGTATATAGCACAATTTAGATATGATATATTCATATATAGTTATAGAATGTATACAATGTAATGTGGTATTTAATCATTCACTACATCAATCAACCAATTAATCAATCAATAAATCAGTGAATCAGTACTCACAGGTAGCAGACACAGAGGTGAGGTACACACACATGGTGATCAGGAGGGCCAGAGAGAGGGTCCTGGACTGGAACACTGACATACTGACTGACTGAGTGACTTACTGACTGGCTGACGGACGAATGGACGGACGGACAGACAGATTGATGTACTGACTGTTCGACAGACCAACAGAGACAGGTAGAGACTCTGCAAGGCACTAAACTACGGAGACGTGTCGGAGGTCGTACTGACTGTTCTGGTAACGGTGGCGATGAGTCTTTCTAAAAGGCAGTGGAAGTGTCGGGTTTCGTGTCTGACTGTGGGTTACATGAATAGTATTAGTCGAAACTCCCACCTTGTTGTGTCATGGTACGATGTGGTCAGTATTGGTAACGTTATATTTACACCGCCGCCCCTCTCTCTCTCTATCCTTTTCCATCTTCATTTCACCCCCTACCTCACTTGACAAACCACCACCACCCCAACCCCTGCAGCAGTATTTCTGAGAAAGATGGATCAAGAAAGGACACACACATACACACACACACACACATACACACACACATACACACACATACACACACACATACACACACATACACACACACATACACACACACACTAAAAGGTGTGAACAGCTGACTCTGCAAATGCATGTTGTCTTTTTCTGTCTGCACCATGATGTCAAAACAGTCAGACTGACGACCCAAAATAATATTTCCATCATTTTATTTTATATTTCAGTTCCAGCCAAGTTTCATAGATTTCCTGATGTTTACAACTAACTTTATTGAATAAATAAGCAGAAAATGAAACATTTCTTAAAGCTGCAATATGTAACTTTATGGTTGACCTGACCAAATTCACATAGAAAATTAGTTATAGATCTGTCATTCTCATTGAAAGCAAGTCTAAAAGCGGTAAATCTGTTCTATGAGCGCTATTTCTATGCTTCCTTTTCTTAAGTTTCGTTTTTGAGTATTTTACTTGAGAGTTTTGTATACCAGATTCAGACCTTCTGAAAATACAATCTTTTTGGTTATTGAAAATATATTTCACAGCGGTTTAGATGGTACAATGATTCTCTACACTATACATTGCTTGTTCTGTCACATAAACTGAAATTAAGCAAATTATTTCAATTTTAGCAACCAGGAAATGGCGGAGCGATTTCTGCATATTGCACCTTTAAAATAACATTGATTGATAAAAAAATAAACAAAGTAAATGTATAAGTACTTAATAAATAAATACATTTATTAAATAACATTGATAACTAATTGACAGCTATAAACCAATTCATCTAAATATCAAAAAGGTACTAAAAGTCCCCATAAGTACTTGAATAAATAAATAAATAAACACATATGATACTGGTTTTAAATATAATTCATAAATAACTCTAATAACCCATTGAACATGATGATGACAACTGAATTAAATGATAACTAGTTAATCAGACTATGAACAATATCAATATGAATAAGATATTCAATATGAATGTAATATGCACATTGGAAGTCTGCTTTTTACAAGTGGAAAAGTGGAACGTCAGCGGAGCTTCAGCCATTGGCAGTGATTCTATTGGTTGGATGTTGACTGCTGAGTTGAGTCATTCTTGGTCGATTCCCGATGACGGGAGGAGGAGGAGAGGGAGGAGAGGAGAGACAGGGAAAAGAGAGGAGAGGAGATAGGAGAGGAGAGGAGGAGAGAGAGGTGCGAGAGGAAGGTACGGATGGAGAAGAGGGGGAAGCAGGGAAAATAGAAGAGAAAACAGAGGGAGGAGAGGAAGACAGAGAGGGATGAGAGGAGGAGGGAGAGGAGGTTAAGGAGGTAAGGGTGGAAGTGAGAGAGGAGGAAGGAGTTGAGGATGGTTGGTGGTGGAGGGTGGAGAGGAGGGTAAGGAGTTGTAGTGGTTGGAGGGTTGGCGGAGGTAGTGGTAGTGGGTGGTGGAGGTGTGAGGTGTGGAGAGAGGTTGGCGAGGGGTGGGTAGGGTGGAGGTGGAGGTGGGGTTAGGGTTGGAGAGGAGGGGTTGGTGAGGGGTAAGGAGTGTCTGGTAGGGGTGGGGGGTGGAGGTGAGAGAGGTTGCGAAGAGGAGAGCCAAGGGAAATGTTGAGCTCCTGCCGGGGGACATTTCTAGGAATGGAAAATATTACAATCAGTTTGCTTTTCTCTTTTGTTCTTTCCCTGTATGTGATGTGTGGTATGAACTTACTCAAACTGTTGAATCTTGCCGTCGTACCCAGGGTTCTCTATGGTAAACTACAGAACAGACCTTTCCCGTCTCAAAGCTGCAGGAGAAACACAGTGTTTAATACTGAAACTGAATGGGTTTGACACAACATGTCTGGAGGCTTTGACACAACATGGCCACCACATACTGTAAAGCACCTTGTGACAACATATGAGACTGAACTGGATAAACCTAAATGAAATAAAGACATATAAAATATGTTTTCCTTACATGACGGCCCGTACACAGGGAGCGTTATTGTCCTGAGTCCAGTAGCCTGTGATTGGATCGGTCACCTCTTTCTTGGACACTGTCTTACAGCACGACACCATTTTTTCTCCATCTACTGAGGAGGGGGAAGGGTAAAGATATTTTCAAACAAATCATCTTAACCTGGCAATCACTTCAAAAACCATGTACCCTATTACATCCCAACTCTAACCCCCTAACACCCACTCCCTTCCCCTCACCTGTCCCACTACAGCTCTAACCCCCTAACACCCAACTCCCTTCCCCTCACCTGTCCCAACCCAGCTCTAACCCCCTAACACAAACTCCCTTCCCCTCACCTGTCCCAACCCAGCTCTAACCCCCTAACACAAACTCCCTTCCCCTCACCTGTCCCAACCCAGCTCTAACCCCCTAACACAAACTCCCTTCCCCTCACCTGTCCCACTACAGCTCAGTGCTGCTATGACGACGGCTGCTCTCCAGATTTTCACCAGAGTTCCACAGGTCACCATCTTTACCCTAAATGTCAGAGACTCAACTGGTACAATAAAAGTTAAATAAATAGATAAATCAAGTCTCTCTCTTCTCTGGCAGGCTGCTCAGCTCAGTGTCAGGTCTGTAGTGTCCGACTTCACCAGGGTTGAAGGTACTTAAGGCCTGAAAAGCAGAAGTGTCACCTCCGGTTCAGCCATTACTCTGTTCTCATCTATTTTTTGCGTGAAAGACAGAGTGAATGAAAGACTACAGGGGTTTCTGCTGTGTCACTGCTCATTTACCAACAGGAAACACTTTCATCAGTGTTTCCGACCAGAGAATTTAGACATGGGTCTTTCCCAGAATGCCGTTCAGAAGATCAGAATGCCGACACAGGGTTTAGCCTAATGACTGAGCTACACGTGCTCTGATTAAGGCTTTACTAATGAAACACATCAGCTTGTCGGACAAAGAAAAATAACAATAGGTAGAACATTTGGTGATTTTGTTTTTTGTTTCCAATATTGAGTGCTCCTACTTTTTCCTTTGTCATTTGACTTTAGGGAGGGGTTTAGGCTGATGACATCATGGCGACCCCAGCCCAATGACACATGGAGAGTCACACCCTTACCTTTGTACAGCATTGTGTTTTACGCTGCCAGATCAGTCTAAAACAGGGGGTGGCCAACGTGGAGAGCTATGGCGTTTGCAGCCTCCACTTATGCACCTGATTACACTAATGAACCAATCAGTAGCCTTCTTAGGCCGCGGCCCATAGGAGAGACAAAAAAATACATCACTTCAGATCTTATGGGGTTTTTTATCATGTCATGTGCAATTATTGTAAATCTCATGGTGACCATTCCAATTGGTACCATTAACCGTTTGTGGTCAGGATCAGAATAAACCTGGCTTCCTTCCTGCTGGCTCAACACTCAACACGCTCTCCCTGGGAAAGAGGAAGGAACCACATCTAACACACACACAGAGCGTCCCGTTATCATGCTTTTATTAGCACCTCACAGTTACACTGAGAAGAGAGGGGCCACAGGAAGAATAGATCGTCTGACTGACTGACTGACTGACTGACTCATTAAGAAAAGTTCAGAATATAATATAATCATAACAGGTTTGGTCAGTCCTTTATTTACTTCTTTTATAACCCAATGAGGGTCTCTGGACCGAAACACTGGTTCAACTAAAACAGCATTGTCACGGTACTGATGTGGATGTGGTGGTGAAGTCAGGCGCAGGACACAGCGGATAAGTCAAAACGACTTTACTGAAGTATATGAACAATATACAAAAATAAATGGCCTCGAAACAACGGAGGCGAACTGTTACGCGAAATGCGTAAAACACTCAATAAACAAAGTACCGAACCTCACAACAAAACGACAGGCGGACAATAACACACAACTACAAAACATAACACAGGGAAACTTATAGGTGACATAATCAGGACAGAATACGAAACAGGTGCACTAAACTAGACATGACCAAACAAACATCGAAAACATCAAATGGTGGCAGCTGTACTCCGGGGACGACGAACGCCGAAGCCTGCCCGAACAAGGAGGAGGAGCAGCCTCGGCGGTATTCGTGACAGTACCCCCCCCCCCCCTTGACGCGCGGCTCCAGCCGTGCGCCACCCCCGGCCTCGGGGACGGCCAGGAGGACGCGGAGCAGGGCGCGTGGGATGGTTACGGTGGAACTCCGTCAGGAGGGAGGGATCTAAGATGTCCCTCCTAGGCACCCAGCACCGTTCCTCCGGACCGTACCCCTCCCACTCCATGAGATATTGTAGACCCCCCATCCGACGTCTCGAATCCATGATGGACCGGACTGAGTACGCCGGAGCCCCCTCGATGTCCAGTGGGGGCGGAGGAGTCTCTCTTATCTCACTGTCCTGGAGTGGACCAGCTACCACCGGCCTGAGGAGAGACACATGGAACGAGGGGTTAATGTGACAATCATTAGGCAGTTGTAACTTGTAGCATACCTCGTTCAATCTCCTCAGGACTTTAAATGGCCCCACAAACCGCCGACCCAGCAGGCGAAGGGGCAGATTTCGAGTCGAGAGCCAGTCTCAATCTCCAGGTGCGTACACTGGACCCTCACTGCGGTGGAGATCGGCGCTCGCCTTCTGTCTACGGATAGCCCGCTGCAGATGGACGTGTGCAGCGTTCCACGTCTCCTCCGAGCGCCGAAACCACTCATCCACCGCAGGAGCCTCGATCTGGCGCTGATGCCATGGTGCCAGAACCGGCTGATACCCTAACACACACTGGAAAGGGGTCAGGTTAGTAGAGGAGTGGCGAAGAGAGTTCTGGGCAATCTCTGCCCAAGGGATATAACCCGACCACTCCTCCTGCCGGTCCTGGCAATACGATCTCAGAAACCTACCCACATCCTGGTTCACTCTCTCCACCTGCCCATTACTCTCAGGGTGAAAACCCGAGGTAAGGCTAACCGAGACCCCCAAACCATGAACGCCCTCCAGACTCTAGAGGTGAATTGGGGACCTCGATCGGACCCCCCCCCCCCCATGTAAAACTAAACTGTTAAACAGTATTTTAAAGGTATAGAGAACTGTGGTTCGTGGACCACTCTGGGTCCGAGAGGTCTGAGTAATAGGAGGTCTGTCGAAAGCCTGTCAATTACAGTAACTCAATGGAAACTGGAACCACATTGTAACAGTTTCTGCATTTTAATGTGTGTGTATATAGCACAATATAGATATGATATATTCATATATAGTTATAGAATGTATACAATGTAATGTGGTATTTAATCATTCACTACATCAATCAACCAATTAATCAATCAATAAATCAGTGAATCAGTACTCACAGTTAGCTGACACAGAGGTGAGGTACACACACATGGTGATCAGGAGGGCCAGAGAGAGGGTCCTGGACTGGAACACTGACATACTGACTGACTGACGGACGAATGGACGGACGGACAGACAGATTGATGTACTGACTGTTCGACAGACCAACAGAGACAGGTAGAGACTCTGCAAGGCACTAAACTACGGAGACGTGTCGGAGGTCGTACTGACTGGTCTGGTAACGGTGGCGATGAGTCTTTCTAAAAGGCAGTGGAAGTGTCGGGTTTCGTGTCTGACTGTGGGTTACATGAATAGTATTAGTCGAAACTCCCACCTTGTTGTGTCATGGTACGATGTGGTCAGTATTGGTAACGTTATATTTACACCGCCGCCCCTCTCTCTCTCTATCCTTTTCCATCTTCATTTCACCCCCTACCTCACTTGACAAACCACCACCACCCCAACCCCTGCAGCAGTATTTCTGAGAAAGATGGATCAATAAAGGACACACACATACACACACACACACACATACACACACATACACACACACATACACACACACACTAAAAGGTGTGAACAGCTGACTCTGCAAATGCATGTTGTTTTTTTCTGTCTGCACCATGATGTCAAAACAGTCAGACTGACGACCCAAAATAATATTTCCATCATTTTATTTTATATTTCAGTTCCAGCAAAGTTTCATAGATTTCCTGATGTTTACAACTAACTTTATTGAATAAATAAGCAGAAAATGAAACATTTCTTAAAGCTGCAATATGTAACTTTATGGTTGACCTGACCAAATTCACATAGAAAATTAGTTATAGATCTGTCATTCTCATTGAAAGCAAGTCTAAAAGCGGTAAATCTGTTCTATGAGCGCTATTTCTATGCTTCCTTTTCTTAAGTTTCGTTTTTGAGTATTTTACTTGAGAGTTTTGTATACCAGATTCAGACAGCTGAAAATACAATCTTTTTGGTTATTGAAAATATATTTCACAGCGGTTTAGATGGTACAATGATTCTCTACACTATACATTGCTTGTTCTGTCACATAAACTGAAATTAAGCAAATTATTTCAATTTTAGCAACCAGGAAATGGCGGAGCGATTTCTGCATATTGCACCTTTAAAATAACATTGATTGATAAAAAAATAAACAAAGTAAATGTATAAGTACTTAATAAATAAATGCATTTATTAAATAACATTGATAACTAATTGACAGCTATAAACCAATTCATCTAAATATCAAAAAGGTACTAAAAGTCCCCATAAGTACTTGAATAAATAAATAAATAAACACATAAGATACTGGTTTTAAATATAATTCATAAATAACTCTAATAACCCATTGAACATGATGATGACAACTGAATTAAATGATAACTAGTTAATCAGACTATGAACAACATCAATATGAATAAGATATTCAATATGAATGTAATATGCACATTGGAAGTCTGCTTTTTACAAGTGGAAAAGTGGAACGTCAGCGGAGCTTCAGCCATTGGCAGTGATTCTATTGGTTGGATGTTGACTGCTGAGTTGAGTCATTCTTGGTCGATTCCCGATGACGGGAGGAGGAGGAGAGGGAGGAGAGGAGGAGACAGGGAAAAGAGAGGAGAGGAGATAGGAAGGAGAGGAGGAGAGAGAGGTGCGAGAGGAAGGTACGGATGGAGAAGAGGGGGAAGCAGGGAAAATAGAAGAGAAAACAGAGGGAGGAGAGGAAGACAGAGAGGGATGAGAGGAGGAGGGAGAGGAGGTTAAGGAGGTAAGGGTGGAAGTGAGAGAGGGAGGAAAGGAGTTGAGGGAGGTTGGAGAGGAGGGTAAGGAGGTAGTGGTAGGGGTGGAGGTGGAGGTGGAGGTGAGAGAGGTTGGAGAGGAGGGTAAGGAGGTAGTGGTAGGGGTGGAGGTGGAGGTGAGAGAGGTTGGAGAGGAGGGTAAGGAGGTAGTGGTAGGGGTGGAGGTGGAGGTGAGAGCGGTTGGAGAGGAGAGCAAGGGAAATGTTGAGCTCCTGCGGGACATTCTAGAATGGAAAATATTACAATCAGTTTGCTTTTCTCTTTTGTTCTTTCCCTGTATGTGATGTGTGGTATTTAACTTACTCAAACTGTTGAATCTTGCGTCGTACCCAGGGTTCTCTATGGTAACTACAGAACAGACCTTTCCCCGTCTCAAAGCTGCAGGAGAAACACAGTGTTAATACTGAAACTGAATGGGTTTGACACAACATGTCTGGAGGCTTTGACACAACATGGCCACCACATACTGTAAAGCACCTTGTGACAACATATGCGACTGAACTGGATAAACCTAAATGAAATAAAGACATATAAAATATGTTTTCCTTACATGACGGCCCGTACACAGGGAGCGTTATTGTCCTGAGTCCAGTAGCCTGTGATTGGATCGGTCACCTCTTTCTTGGACACTGTCTTACAGCACGACACCATTTTTTCTCCATCTACTGAGGAGGGGGAAGAGTTAAGATATTTTCAAACAAATCATCTTAACCTGGCAATCACTTCAAAAACCATGTACTCTATTACATCCCAACTCTAACCCCCTAACACCCACTCCCTTCCCCTCACCTGTCCCAACCCAGCTCTAACCCCCTAACACAAACTCCCTTCCCCTCACCTGTCCCAACCCAGCTCTAACCCCCTAACACAAACTCCCTTCCCCTCACCTGTCCCAACCCAGCTCTAACCCCCTAACACAAACTCCCTTCCCCTCACCTGTCCCAACCCAGCTCTAACCCCCTAACACAAACTCCCTTCCCCTCACCTGTCCCAACCCAGCTCTAACCCCCTAACACAAACTCCCTTCCCCTCACCTGTCCCACTACAGCTCAGTGCTGCTATGACGACGGCTGCTCTCCAGATTTTCACCAGAGTTCCACAGGTCACCATCTTTACCCTAAATGTCAGAGACTCAACTGGTACAATAAAAGTTAAATAAATAGATAAATCAGGTCTCTCTCTTCTCTGGCAGGCTGCTCAGCTCAGTGTCAGGTCTGTAGTGTCCGACTTCACCAGGGTTGAAGGTACTTAAGGCCTGAAAAGCAGAAGTGTCACCTCCGGTTCAGCCATTACTCTGTTCTCATCTATTTTTTGCGTGAATGACAGAGTGAATGAAAGACTACAGGGGTTTCTGCTGTGTCACTGCTCATTTACCAACAGGAAACACTTTCATCAGTGTTTCCGACCAGAGAATTTAGACATGGGTCTTTCCCAGAATGCCATTCAGAAGATCAGAATGCCGACACAGGGTTTAGCCTAATGACTGAGCTACACGTGCTCTGATTAAGGCTTTACTAATGAAAC